TGATTATAGGGAGGGAGGAGGGGCATTAGCGGCAACAATGAAATTAAGGGGCCGAAAGACAGAGTGGGGTGGGAGGGGTGGTGGTTCCAACAACCATGGACTTTCACCCTAGAGACAGATTTTCGCTTCCCATATGATTCTAAAGCCAAACCCTGTTCTTTTTTCCTAACCTCAACCATGTGTGTTTGTAGTGCTTTTATTGTGAAAGAGACTGCATGCAAACTGTACATTTCCTGTAAAAACGGAAGCGTATTTTGAAAACAGACAATGCATGTAACAGGCTGAAGTTGACACGGCGTCCCAGAGCGTCAACAACCAACACACCCAGGGTACCTTGGACGTCACACTTCAATGTGAGATGTTTTGGGAGGTTTTGACCTTCAACCACTAAAATCTTATCAGTTCATAATTGAGTCCAGGTGGACGTTTGTGCCAAATTTGAGGAAACTCCTTAAAGGCCTTCTTGAGATATTGCATTCATGAGAAGAGGCAGTGATATTAAGCACAAAGTCACGAAAAATTATCTTGTTTTGATGCGAGTTCGTCAAACAGATAGTCGTTTTTAATATTTTTCTTGAGGCTGTTATGTGTGATGTATTTGAAAATAAAATTGCAATATGCCCAGGATCTTATTTTGCTACTCTACCCTTTGTATCAGGATACTCAGTGCCAAATGTCATACTTGTTTGACTATTTATGCCACCCTTGCATTTACATCATTTTGACAGAAAGATGTCCCAAAAATAGGGTTTTCGGCCCCTGAGACCAAACGGCCCCAAGTTTAAGGTGCTCGTTATCAACTCATGGTGGTTTGAGGTATATACAGTCTAACAGGAAATAATAGCAAAAAAACATAGCAGAAAACATGATAAGGGGTGGACCTGTCTCCTGGCCTACATGGGATGAAGAGACAACCCAAAAACATAATGCCTCTGGCCACGACTGCAAGTAGGACAGAGGCATAGAAAGGTGAAAATTGGAAGGAGGAAGATACACTAGAAGCAGTGCGACGATAAAGAGATGGAAAGATGTGTGTGTGTGTATGTGCGTGTGTGAGAGAGAGAGAGAGAGAGAGAGAGAGAAAGACCTCTGGGTTGTGATGTCAGACATCTTGTAGAAAACGACTCGTCTCCGCAAATGTCAAAACAAGACCAAAAAAACCTGCAGTATTTTTGGATGTGAATTACAGTAATCATTCTGTTTGCTGTCTGTAGATGTCAGCCACTCTTCACTGTGATATTTCATAACTGCGAATAAAAGTCAACACAAGTGTGTGTGTGTGTGTGTGTGTGTCTGACAGTGTGTATTTTGTGCTTTCACACCTGCCCTGTTTGGTCCGGTTCAGTTGAACTCAAGTTCATTTGTCCCCTCACTGCGGTTCGTTTGTGCAGGTGTGAACACACCAAAACAACCGGACTGAGACCTTCTTGAAGAGGTGGTCTCAGTCCGGTTACAAACGAACTCTGGTGCGGTTGGTTTGTGGTGAGAAGGTGTTCCGACCTGGATGTGAAACAACTGCAGTCACATGACACATTGTTTGGGTTAAACATGAGCATGTTACAGTCCTGGAGGATTATTAATGTGCACCTCCTCCTGTACTGCCTTAATATGCACATTCAGCACATCCAATGCATCAAAACATTGTTTTCTAGTTGGAGCCGCGCCTCGTTTTCAAACTGTATGGTTTGACTAAAATGAACAATGACAGCAATATAGTCCACGATGAGCAGCGCTAAAATCAACCTGCGTAGTTGTCCCTCCATTGTGACATTAGAAAGTGTCACGTTTATCTTGCAAGTGTACTCTTCTTCAATGTTTGCTTTACTTCCTGGATTTTTCCCACATGGAAATTCTGACCAATCAAGAGCAGCTTTCTCACACAAGGCATTTGATCTGGTCAACTTATAAATGCTGCCGTGAGAACACGAACCAACTCTAGGCAATTATACAACTTTGGAACAACATGAGTCCCTGATTCAGTTCAGTTTGAACATATTGAAGCCATGAACTGTGTGAAAGCTTAAACACATAGAAACACATCTGCAGGTACGATGAGGAGCATGTTCTGTCTCCTCTCAGCGATACAGCTGTCTGAGACCTTGTGCGTCCTCATGTAACATCCAGCTGATATTTGAACACTGAGATTTGTTCTGACGGCCTCGGCGCACTCCTGTACTGTACGTGCACGGTGTGTTTGTGCTTGTGTGGGTGGGTGAATTTATGAATGTGCTCATGACTTTAGGGTGTGTATGTGTGTATGATTTGCCGCTCCCTGGGCTCCACACTATGGACGCCCGAGGCTCCGACAGAGATCGGATGAGTCAAATGCAGATTTGTTTAAACCTACAGACGGACTGTGACTCACTTACTGCAGGAGAAAGTATCAAAGAAACAGACGGAGAAATCTTTCCCTCCTGTCCTCAGATTCTTTTTCCTTCAGTTAATAATTTGGACCCTCTGATTATTTAATTTGTCTCCTCAAATTAATAATTTGTGCCTTTGAATAAATTGTGGCCTCAAACTATTTAATGTATTCCCTGGAGCATTCATTCAGTGGCTGTCTGTTACGAACCAATTTAATGTGGGACCCAGCTTCAGTATGTGAATCTTCATGTGAAGCTATTAAACAGAACTGTTATCTTTGTCATATTCTTTGGTGAAGGACTTTCTGTCCTCCAAAAGACCCACTGAAGGGGACAAATTAAAATATTTCACAGAGGGATGTTAGTGATTCGAGGACACAGATTATTCTGAACAAATTGAAATTCCAAACTGGAGGTAATAATCTCTTAAAAATTGTCCTCTGGACTCCGTGAACTTTCCAATTAAAGATAAAATCAGTTTTTCAAACCGCATTTTTTGAACATCCACTTTTTCTACTAGACATAACATCAAGCTACAACATGAGATGTGGAGCGATGGAGCACTGAACAAAATCCGTACGTGAAGTAGTCTTGGCGAGAAGAGGAAACTTTCTGCCGTGAACATAAACTGTACATAAAGATGGACGACACGTCTCCATTTTCTCCCACTTAACAAAAATGACGCGAAGATTTTCTGGATATGGCTTTAGATTTAGTCTAATGTTGTGTTCACCCTGGGCACAAATAAAACAATTCACATGAATAAATTACATGTAAGGTCAATGTAAAGATGCGATTAGATGCAGTTTCCCTCCTGGTGGTGTGATGGTCCACGCTAACGACACGAAATCCGAGTTAAGCAGCGCAAATTAAGCGGGTAGAGCGATTTCACGTCATGTTTGTTGAAAAATCTGAAATTTACTTACAGCACAGCTACACTCACAGATAACTGAGCCTCCTACCTGCCTGTCAAACACCATCAACCCACAAACCTTCTCCAGTCCGGACTGAGTGGAGTCCTGCGGGGTGAAGCTGTGAAGGCTGCGAGCGGAGCTAGCTGCTAACAGCCACCGCTGCAACTAACAAACTCCACAAATCCATTCTGCAGCTCCACCATCCACAGTCAGACACACACGGCAGATTATTTACTGCTGGATTACAATTGTACATTTCATACGTACTGTATCATTAACGTTTCCAATGGTTTCCAATCTGATGTTTTTCACTGAGACATCGATGCTCTTGCAGTCAGAACTGTGCCTCCAAACCTGCGTGTTTCAAGTCAAAAAACGATCATTTTCTCACTGTAACTAAGTGTTTTTTGTGCAGGGATTGAAATCCTAAATCTGGTTTGCATTATATAAGTTTACATTTAAGGTGTCTTTGCAACATTTAATATGCTATTAATAAATGTATTCATTTATTTGGTATATTTCCAACACAATGGGCCCGTCCCAATACCCCCCCTTAGCCCTACCTCTACATTTGCGTGTTCCCATGAGGGGTAGAGGTGTCCCAATTCCTATTGTGTGTAGGGGTAGGGGGCATAACGAGGGGTAGTGGATATGAAACTAGCCCTTCGGAGCGAGGGATTTCAGATGCTGACTTGCCAGGGGTAGACGTCGCCATGGCTACCACCGAGCAAGAGACGGAAAAAAGTTCATACATAGCTAACGTTACTGTCGTCAAGTTGCTTGTTAGCTAGCTAGCTAGCTCACACTATCTGGCGTCTGTCATCTGTCTTGTTCTGCACAACTGTCTGACTTTTCACATTACGATAACACGCCAGCTAGCATAACTATGCTGCCTCGTAATATTAGCTGGTTAGCTAGCTAGCAGAAGTCCCCTGTCGTCTGTCGTTCATCAAACGAAGCATGATGAATGCGGCAAACGTGATCGGCAGGATGAATGAGACTCCATTGTAGATGCCGGTTGGAAATGTAGATGGTTCGCAGCTTCCTGTTTAAAATAGTTACATATGCGTGAAAGTAACCGACGTGTCCCACTTCCTAGGGAAAGATTTCTACCCCTACCCCTCATTGCTTCATTTCGAGGGCCAAGGGGTAGTGGGCAAGGGGGGGTATTGGGATTGGGCCATTCTCACTCCGACCTCGTCACATGACCACGTTTGGTTATGGACTTTCCACGTCCACATATGACGTCCAAGGTACCCTGGCTGTGTTGGTTGTTGCCGTTCTGGGACACCGTGTCAACTTCCTGTTACATGCATTGTCTGTTTTAAAAATAAACTTCTGTTTTCACAGGACATGTACAGTTTGCATACAGTCTCTGTCAAAATAAAAGCACTACATCAGTACAACACCTCTAATTGATATTTTATTCCTTCAACAACACACACATGTGGTTGGGTTTAGGAAAAAAGAACAGGGTTTTGCTTTAGACTCTTACAGGAAGTGAACACTGACCTCTCGGCAGTGGTTGTTGGACCCATCCACCACCCCTCCTGCCAGCCATACTCAGACTTTTGCCCCCTTAACTTACGTTTTTGTTCCGCTGCTAATTTTCAGACAACAGGGAATACTCAACCTGAAACTGGGTGAAACTCAACAAACACTCATCAGTCATCAACCCAGTGACAACAGGACGTCATGTTCATGTTAATGAGTAATCGTTTACCTCCAGGTTCTGCAGGTATCCCTCCTGTGGGTCACACAGCAGAGAGGAGATCCGGTGGTTGTGTCTCATACAGCGGGTGCTGCTGTCCCTCCACAAGGGGAAGATCTGCCGGATCACCGTCATGCGCCCCAGTGCACTGTGGGTAAGCTCCAGGATCTCTGTGTCGCTGATTTCCTGTGGAGAGTAATGGAGAGTTTACAGACCTCGCGTCGAAGACTGATTATTGTCTGACATTAGTTTCCTGAAATGCTGATTGTGCTGTGACGTGTGTGAACAGGTAAAGTTTGTGAAAACGTCAGTACAGCACCTGATGAGCAAAATAATATTCACTTCCTCCTCCATATTAATAAAGAGCAGCGACAGGGCAGTTTTCACACAGAAAAACAAACGGCAGCGTCGCAGCCGAACAGACTGCAGGATTCAAAGAGGCCATTAAAAAGCCTCCTTTATTGATGCACATGTTTAATTGCTTTGACGCGGAAAAACCCAATTATTTTCTGTGAGGTGTAATTATAGATAGCCTCAATCTAACTCTAAAAGCATAAAAATAATCTATGAATAATATTAGCTTTATTATGCTTTATAACACCAAATATAATTACAGTCCACAACTTAAACAAGAGTCCCCACTAATGACTCAGTTTGTTTTCTTCAGCCTAATAGAAAAGTCCACTTTGTTGCATTCCTGTATTTAGGCGCCTGCTATCCAATTAAAAGTGAGCGGGGCTTGTAAACAAAAGTCACCAGGATTTGCAGCTCATTTATTGGAGAGTTTTGAAAACATGTCATTCTGTCAGTTTAAAGGCTTTAAAGTCAAAACAGGTTTGACTCCCGCTCCTGTAATTGCAGCCGAGACATTAAGAATCTGTCCGCTGTGTTTGCCGAAAGGTGTTAACTTTTTCTTTTGTGTTGATTGTCAGTCCACGTTCATCAGACTCCAGAGATGACTCTCTCTTCTCATCCCAGCTCATCAAGTACAGCAGGTTTGCCAGTGGACCTACACGATCAAGGTGCTCTCCTGCATCAGTTTTGGACGTTCAGGGACGGTGTGTCAATTTCCGCTTCTCAGTGGTGTTTGGTAGTTAGGAAGGGCCCAAGTGCAAGATTTAGCATCTAAACTAGCTACGACAAGACACTGGACAACATCAACATATATACGACCCAGAAATCATGAGCACAAACCTGTATCTGAAAAATACCAAATGAAATAAGAATGACTTAATTCAATTAAATTCATTGTAATAGTTTATTTTATAGTTTATATAAGTAACATTTAATTTTATTGTAGAATAGACTGCTACTGATTCTTTCACAAAAAACAAAAAACATGGGGATTGGTTTGTCTTTATGACAGCAGATACAGCAGTTGGCCCCACGTTTTTAATTTAACATGAGTTCTTTAAACATGGCTGTCTACATTTACCCTAATGCTTGTTACATGCATTGTGTCTTTTCAAAATACACTTCTGTTCTCACCTGAAATGTACAGTTTCTGCTTCTTACATGCACACAGTTCTTTAGGTAAACCACTTCATTTTGGGGTTGACTTCCTTAAATAAGTGTTTCACCACTGTAAATATATTCTTTTCATAAACTGAGGTGTCTGTGCAGCAGGAAAATGCAAATACTTTTAAAACTGGTGAGAAATGACCAGAGAAAACAGAGAAAAAGGTCTATGGCAGTTACTCATGCCTCAGATATAGAAAATTAGGGCTGTACCACTGTTTAATAAGAATATTCGACAATTCGTTTTTTTCCCCTCCATATTAAGTTCTGAACGTAAGTGCTATATCATAGGCAACTGGACTTTCTTGAAGACGTTTCGATTCTCATCCAAGAAGCTTCTTCAGTTCTAAATGACTGGTACGAAGTTGCAGCCTATAAACCCGGTGTGGGTGTGAACCCCTGCAGAGTCGTAGGGGTCACGTGAGCTCTTAGTTTCAGAGTCGTTTAGGTCACAGTATGTTTGGCACAACGCAGGAGAGCCAGCTCCTTGGGTCAAGACTCGGCTATCCACTTACATCTACAGGAGAAGGGACACTCCTTTGAGGACAGCAACGTGCACATCTTGGCCACGAAGGAAAGATGGTTTGAAAGAGGAGTAAAAGAAGCCATCTACGTCAAGCTGGAACGACCATCGTTAAACAGAGGAGGTGTCACCCACCTACAATGCAGTCTTCACACCCATTCACCCCTGGTCCCACCTGACCCTAACGACTCACCTTGTGACCTTAACGACTCTGAAACTAAGAGCTCACGTGACCCCTACGACTCTGCAAGGGTTCCCATCCACACAGGGTTTATAGCCTGCAACTTCGTACCAGTCAACTGAAGAAGCTTCTCGGATGAGAGGCGAAGCGTCTTCAAGAAACGCAAGCAAGTCCAGTTGCCTACGATATTAGCACTTACAATTACCATGACCTGGATGACTGAGAATCTTCACAGACATTAAGTTCTGAAGTTTGAACGGGGCTCAGCAGGACGTTCAGTGTGACAATGGCATTCTTATACTACAGTAAACAAGCTAACGGTGCTAACGATGGATTGGAAATGTGCAACCACATTTTTTGCCAACACTAGATATGAAACAAAAGTCAGAGACTGTGTCGCATGAAGTATCAGTGAGCTGTAAATTCACCACTTCTATGCAGATGAGAGAAGATGTTATCTCAGAGCCTGACGGTGGAAAGTTTCTCCTTCATGTCTGCAGCTGTCTGTACCAAAGACTGTCTCACTCTTTATACTGCTGCTACTGCCTGGTACCTATCATCGTCACAAACGACATTAAAAATGGAACGACGTCAAGGACACACCGAATTAAGAAAAACAACAACAGTCTAACAGCATCGACGCTTAACATCAATTCACTGATCTTTGTCTGAAAGAAACTGCTCAGTGTTCGTTTTTTAACTTTCTACCAAACATGGACAAGATATACTGCCTTGAAAATTGGGCAATGATTGCGTTATACAATGAAAAACTCCAGAGAAGCTACTGGGATTATTTTTTCAAAAACCAGTTTATATTTTAATGCACTTCGTGTGCCGGGAGACACAAAGTAAACTGAAGAAAAAACTCAAAGTCGAGGTCAGAGCTCTGTGCAGGCGAGTCAACCTCTTCCACACCAAACTCAGAAAGACGTTTCTTTATAGAGCTGCCTTTGTGAACTAAACTGTGAGGACAGGTCTTATAATGTATCTAAAAACCATTAACATTGACCTTTATACAGCAGGTCATGATGAACCACTCACAGACTGAATATTAAGTCAGTGCTTCAGTTGCACCTTGTTCACTATTGCCTCTTTCCCACTGGACAAAAAGACTTCTAACAGCCATTAAAATCTGGCTTCTGTCTTTGTTAGGAAAGGTCACATTCTCAGGACAATCTTTAGTAGTCAAGGTATTTATCGGCTCCAGCTCCAATCGGCAGTGATGGAAACACAATGACAGATGTTTAGAAAGAACTGGGCACAGCGTAGGAGGCAGGGCCTTGTTAATTCCTTTAAAAGTTCCTCAGTGGTGCATAAAGCAAAAAAGTATGACTACCTGGTTAGAATGACCTGAATCTTCAACATCGTCGGGCCCTAGAGACTGAAGGGGAATAAAATGGTTTAATACTGCGGGTCTTCTAGACTTTAGAAATGTTATTTTGTTGGGATTGTGACGCTGAAAAAAATGCTGTGCCGTAAGACAAATTATCATATCGTATTGTATCGTATCCACTGATTTGCAGACGTCTGTTTCACAGTGTAATTTCAGGGGCCCAGTGGCATCATTTGGTGGACTCGGAAATTGCAATGCTATGATTCAGAAACCACCAAACCCTTTCAGTCCAGTACCTTTGGAACCAGCAGTGACCCTTCAGACATGGTACCTAGACCCTCGGTCTGTTCAGACAGTCCTCTTAAATGTGGGCGGGGTTGTTGTCACTCACTGCTCCGTCCAGCACTCGCTGTATTTCCTCATCAGCGGTGACACAGATGGAAGTCTGCACCTGGTTTATCGTCCACAGAACGAGGCTGCACGCCCACATTTTCACAACAAAATAGAACAGGCTGCAGTGAGAGTCTCTCTCCATGGGATATTTAAAAATAGCAGCTTTGTGCATTTAGTCCTTCTCAGGCAAGCTCAGGGGTTTAGTGTTGCTGTAGCCCACAGGAAGTGAGGATTAGAATATATGACCTTCACATAATCCGCTCCAAATTAATCTATATTTTTAAAGTCATTACTAAAAGTGTGTGTCATATAAAAACTAAAGTGATGATCAAAGTTGAAACAGTGAAATTTAAGGTGTGCTGATGGATTCACGTCATCAACTCATGCATTGAGTAACATTACAAGTTAACGTTCCACCTTAAAAGTTGCCGGCAGTCGGCCCAGTGAATGAAATTATTTTTTTCTCTTTCATTTTATAGTTGTAGTTTACTGATGTATGAACAGAGGTTACATAAAACCAGAGTGACCGTCCTCTGTGGAAACGAACAAAATGCATAACTGAACTGAACTGGACTGCTTGGTGGAAATGGGGCTTATGTCACACTGGTGTCAAAGCCTGGCACTGTTCCTCGGGACACTAATTTTTGCCCCTTTTCTGGCACAGTACAATGACACACGGCCACAAATTCCATCCGTCTTTGTCCAAGCAGGGCTCGAAAATTGTTTCACATCAGTGGGTTCTGAGTGGGAAAGACAGACTGAATCAGTAACAGATATAAAACGAAGAAGTAATCACCACATTTTCACTGGACTCCGTCTGCTTTCCACCATTTATTAACCTGTTTTCCGCCACGTATCTGACATCCTGATGACACACCAGTAACAAAGAAACAGAAAGACTATTTCGCTGGGTATTTTTCTGGCAATAGGGAGCAGTCTGATGCCTAAAAATCTGCATATATGCGCTGATAATGCAGCAGAAAGAGCATATCTGAAGAATTTCCTGGATTTCAGGTGTGAGCTTTGAGGTTTTGGAAAACTAGACCGCATCCAGGTGAGATGAAACTCTGAAGACAGACAGGTTCCATTTTATTTCCCAGTGTTTGACAGTAACAGCTCCGCCTCTGGGGTTACAGGACACAGCTGTGCTGCGAGGACTCAATGAGAGACAAAATATTCAAACTACTTTCTGGCACTTGTCGACTGCAGAAGAGGAGAGGAGCTGGAATGGATGTGAT